ATATATATATATTGGGGGATGCAGGGGTACCCAGCCAGATAATCGGCTGGGTATTGTGCTACCCAGTGATACTCAGCTCTGGCCAAGTGTCGAAGTTAGGCATCTAAGTCCTAATCTTTGTGGCAAATAACATGGTACTGAGAGTTACATTCAATAATTGGTTTAGTTATAAAAAAAAACTTGTTCTGAGCCACAAAAACTGACTGCTCGATGAAAGTTGGGGATTCAGAGAACAATAGAGATTAGGGTTTGAGAATTTGGGGCTAGGCATTGAAAGTAAAACTTCAATGTTCTGTTGGTGATTATTCAATTAAATGTGATAAACATCAACTTTTGTGTTTTTCTTTGGGGGGGGGGGGCAAAGGGAGAACCTGGTCCCTGTTGACACCCCCAGCTGAATTAAAAGTGATTAAAACTTGGTTTTACATAATTTCTGGAAATTTAAAATACTTGAAAGCTTCTCTGGCCTTCACCTGAGTTTTTGGACAACGATTCTAGCAGATTACTGTCAACAAAATCATACCATCACCAAGTTAGACAAACCAAACGTTCCTCTCTGACAGACACCAAGTTAGACAAACCAAACGTTCCTCTCTGACAGATTGTCAGTATCATAGGCTGTCCCTTTCACCAACTTGTTACCATTCTCTATGTTCTCAAAAATAGCCTAAGATTGACACCACAAACGTGCTACCCAGCATCCCTGTTGTATAGAAAAAAAACTCAAAAGATACCACCATGTACTGACACACTGCATCAACAATACCTCTTTTTATAGAAAGTTTCAAACAAACTGCTATTGCTTTGCATCTATTTTTTAGACCCTACAGACCTTCTGTTGAGTATATCTGATGAATAATTAACTTAGAAATGAACATCTCTAGTTTTTCAAGCTTATGGTTGTACCAACAGCTTCATTTACTCCTGCAGAAAAACAAGCATCACACTTGATCCTCAGACAAAAGCCCTAGCTACCAACCTAAAACATGTATTCCACTTGATCCTCAGACAAAAGCTCTAGCCACCAACCTAAAACATGTATAGAAAAGCTCTAGCTACCAACCTAAAACATGTATCACACTTGATCCTCAGACAAAAGCTCTAGCCACCAACCTAAAACATGTATTCCACTTGATCCTCAGACAAAAGCTCTAGCTACCAACCTAAAACATGTATCCCACTTGATCCTCAGACAAAAGCTCTAGCTACCAACCTAAAACATGTATTCCACTTGATCCTCAGACAAAAGCTCTAGCTACCAACCTAAAACATGTATCCTACTTGATCCTCAGACAAAAGCCCTAGCTACCAACCTAAAACATGTATCCCACTTGATCCTCAGACAAAAGCCCTAGCTACCAACCTAAAACATGTATCCCACTTGATCCTCAGACAAAAGCTCTAGCTACCAACCTTAAACATGTATTCCACTTGATCCTCAGACCAAGTTATAGCAGTAAACCAATGTTTTAAGTTACATTTCTAGATTCTAAAGAACAGTTTAAAACATCTTACTTCACAGCTTTAACTAATGCAAGTTTTCTCTCCTTAAAAATCTCAGGAACTTTTAAATCTGGAACACTTTACCAAAATGGCATAAGTGGAATGAATAAAAGCTGTTCAACATCATTTGAGTTTGTATGAGAGAAATCCTCAACTAAAGGAAGAGCAGCCCATGAATGTCAATGCAGGTAGTTTTGTAACTGGTGTTTTTCCACAATCTGTCCCATTCACACTCAAGCAGTTTGAGTATTTGTAGAGCTATTTTTTAGTTCTAAGTTTTAAGTGTATTTATCTACAACTATGGTAATTTCTGGAAGATGCTTATTTGAAAGAGGAATATTATTGTAGTACACAAAACAAAGAAACTGTGCTACATCAGATGATTTTATTATAAACCCACTGAATCCTTACAATTTTAAAAGATAAAAAAATGAGCGATTCAGCCAACAAAAGACAGTGAAACTGAGAAGGCTGGTTAAGCCCTAACCAAGGAAGATATATTGTACAACAGTTTCAAGCAGATGTGTCAACATTTCTTTCAAAATTGACTTGTGAAACTCTTAAAGTTGAACTCGCTGTGATACAGCTACAAGTTTTCTTATTAAAAAGATCTCCAGTACACACTAGTTTCATCAACATTCTTTTAAATCACCAATACATTAAGACCACAAATATCAATTTGTCTTAAGTTCTAGTGAGGAAAAGGTTTATCCCTTTTTGTGGTTAGGGGGAGGGGTTAATTCCAAGATAAGACACATCATTACTATCAACTTGTATGAAAAATAGACACACTGTATTTTTAAAGAGGTTATTTTGAAATACATGAGAATTTATTTATAGACTTTGACAATTAGAAAAAAATGCTGGCATAATTAGATACATTTTACTAACACAATTTGCTAGAACAATGAAACATTTAATAATAAATAGACTATCATTAATCACGACCCTTTGCAAGAACAGTTGAAAATTGGATGTTATACCAGTGTCAATATAAAAATATCCATAGCCAGAGTTTTTTGCTTCATCTACAAATCATTAAAACAATTCAAATACAGAATATTAGAATAAACAAATTGACAATTACACTCTTTGCTATAAAAATTAAATCATGTAAGCTGGCCAAATCTCGTGAGATATTAATAGGTTTATGGACAAAAATGTCACTAACAGCAAGGATATTGAATTAATGAAAGAACAGAATATTAAAATAGCTATACTCGTTACTGGGTTGATTGTTAGTTCTAACCTATGAAGGTAGATTGCTTTGAACAGAAATTAATAAAAATTGCCACTTCGTAAATGTTCATGTGAACCATTAAAAAAATAATGCAACTCCCACCAGACACCACGATATGTAAAAATAAAGTACTGAAAATATTTACAAATCGTACAATTCTTTCAAAAATTACCATGTTACACAAATTCAATTACCTATTTCCCCCCCCTAAATGTTCAAGTAATTTCACATGTTTTTGTATCAGTAATTTAAAACAGTTGGTATATCAAGGTTTTTCTTCCTATTCCTCACATAGAAGTATCAGACAGTGACTACAGGCTATTGGTCATATTTTTTTCAACTTTATGATGGATGTTTTCAGTTCCATTTCCATCCAAGCTTCTAAATTTATTAACCATGACACTTAATACAATATTAAAGATTTTCTTGTAACTCACTCAACAACATTCATTCACAAACTTCAGAGCCATTTAAGCTGTCAAACTGAGGTTACAAACTGGTTTTATAGTTTACTTAAGAAATAGAACCAAACGTTTAATTTTCTAATACTCATTCTGCAAATAAAACAAGTTCTGCTTTTAAATCTTGCCACAATATAAACCCACTTTTCGCCCAAGCCATAAAACTTCAGATGATTTTATACACATGAAAAGTGTTCCAAAATGCTCACTAGATGGCACTAGTCTTCCATGAATTTATTGACAAATTAAAAATATGGGAAGATGAAACTTTTATAAAAACGGTTTCCTAATGAAGTGGGTTCTCAAAATTTTCTTTATTATTCTTTTGTTATTTTAGTAGCTCATCCAAGACAATCAGCCCTTTCCAAGTTTTTTATCTGGTCACGACTGTTGGCTGATGATGGTGCAAGAAGTACGAACATGCCCACGAAGAAATCAGGAAATGAGCTGTAAAAATATAAGTTACATATGAATGAGCAACATTCAACCTAAACTGTAAAATGCAACAACTGTTCTTAACAAAACAATTAAACTATAGATAACAGATTTAATAGTACAAGAAAGACAAAAAATAAAAACACCTGTACATATGGAAAAATTCAACACTGTTTAAAAATCTCTCTAAAAGAAGGTATAGTTTGAGAGTGGTATCTTCATTGAATGCCTCCTATAAGAGAGGTAGATTTGACAGTGATGTCGACACTGGTAGATTCTAATGATTCACTGACATTATTATATGTTGATATTTATACTAAACTTTATATTGTCATGTATAAGGTAGTGATTCTCAACCAGAGGTCCATGGACCATTGCAGGTCCACAGGAATAATTGTTTTTGGTCTGCAAATATATATTAATATATAACTACTTAAGTATATTGTTTTACAATATAATTTTAAATTATTCAAACAGTTTATGTTGTAGAACATAAGTGCCTAGCTGGTCTTTAGTTAGAGAAAGGTTGGGAACCACAGTCTAATGTATTGTATAAGTACATATTTGTTTCCTTGAACACCATAATTTTCAACATTTTGTATTTCTCTTTCCCTGCTGTAGTGTACTTCCCCATAGAACGTTTGTTATAACTTTCTGCTGAGATAACCCATGTGAGTAAAGTTGATACTTTTCTGCCACAGTAAAACAACCATGAAATGCTAAAGTTCTAAAGAAGCCTGTGAGTAAAGTTGATACTTTTTTCTGCCACAGTAAAACAACCATGAAATGCTAAAGTTCTAAAGAAGCCTGTGAGTAAAGTTGATACTTTTCTGCCACAGTAAAACAACCATGAAATGCTAAAATTCTAAAGAAGCCTGTGAGTAAAGTTGATACTTTTCTCTGCCACAGTAAAACAACCATGAAATGCTAAAGTTCTAAAGAAGCCTGTGAGTAAAGTTGATACTTTTCTGCCACAGTAAAACAACCATGAAATGCTAAAGTTCTAAAGAAGCCTACCAAACTCTCATTTCTTCACATAATTAGTAACTATAATCTCAACTTAGAAACTCAAATTACTATTATTGACAAGCTAGAATATAAAGCAAGAGCCTCTTATCTTTTCAATTTGCTAAGATATTGCTCAAGTAATAAATCAAACACAGTGGCACCCCACCCACCTCTTTCCATTTTTGGAAATGCTCCCTTATATACACTTCTATATATATGACATGAATAACCAATCAGTTTCTAATTTGTTCAAAACTATTGACTTAGTATTTTGATATCACAAACATCTAATTTGAACCAGTGATGCATTCAACATACCACATGACACACAAAAATAGATATTTATCTGTTTTTTTAATATTTGCTTTTAAATTAAGAAATTGAGTAATATATAGTTCTAAAATTTGAATTATAATCTAC